TTCAAAAGAATATTCTTAATGATGAAATTAAAATGTGAAATAATTGGGGCTCTGCTGTTTCTCACAAATCATGCTAGTTTATGATGTCATAAGACTGTCACACTTGAACGATAACTCATTTGATTTTCATTCTCAGCATTTCATATCATCCTGAAACTACCTCTTATTAACTGTATTAACTAAAATTTGACTTTAGCTGACATTTCTTTGGTTGAAGAAGAGAAAGTTTAAATAGTCAGAAGTCTTCAAGTGCTTGGGATATGGCTACCTGTTCTTCCCACCTAAGTCAGAAGCAAAAAGGAAACACATGAAAGCAAAATAGTTTAGTCTCAAAATATTTTATGAACCTTTGGTTTCAACATATTGCATGAGATTATGCAACTAGGTGATAAAGTTCCTTTCTCCTTTGAAACTAGCAGAGACATAAACCTTTACCTCCTTTCCTCTTTATGTTTGCTGTATTTTCCGTCATTTTGCGTCATTTTTTCCCTAGTTCAAGACAATTTACTAATTTTACTTCTTCAGGTCTATCTAATCTGTTCCTTCCTGTTTGTTCTCAATGTTGCTACCTATTACCTTTGCCTCCTATACTGTCAGTTTCACCCTTTCCAGTTCATGTCATGTATTTACAGTGAAACACACTTCTGAACAATCTCCAGCAACTCTTTATTGCCTATGGAGTAATGTCTAAACACCTTGGGCTGGTTACAGCCAAGGTTTTCCAGGACTCCATCCATCTCCATTACCCGTCAAGCTGCCTAAGGCTTAACCAATCTGTACTGTTCTACTATTTCCAGTTCCCCTAGGTTCATTTCCTCCACTCTAAGTTATCTGTTTAATGTGCTTATTTCCTTTTTGACAATCTTCACATTTCACAGACAAAGAAACTGACACTCAGAGAGATTAAATAACTGACAATGCCTGTGGTGTGATAAGAATTTAAGTTTCTCTGACTCTTTACTCCTAAATATTTCAGCGTGTATCTTAAGAATAAGGATACTCTCTCATAACCACAGTATAGTGATCATGTTGTGGAAAAATCCCAAAATCTCCAAAAGTCAGACCAGCAAAAAACCAAGCAGTTCACTCAGAAGAATTCAAAATTCATTACACCTAGTCCTAGAGAGTTAGTGCTCTGAAAATCTGGGCAGGTTCTCAGTGGAAACATCTCTTAATATGGGAAAAGCTTTACACAAGCTAATTGGCTAGTTTGAACATAAACTGTTACATACAGCAGGAGTTGCCATGCGGATTTCAAGTAGTAACATACAGAAGGGGGGGAGTTGCTATGGGCAACCAGTAAACACATTGTTAAAGGGAGTGAGAGCTGCTGGAGTACAAACAGTTACATTTATAAGTCGAGCAAAGTGCAAATGAGCTCTTGCAGGAGATCTTGCATGCAATAAGCCTATCTGCAGAAAGCAAGCATATTTACAAAAGCAGAAAGCTGATTAATTTTTAATGAAATTCCCCAAATTTCCTCATCAATCAAACTCAGGATATTTAACATTGATATAGTACCATTATATAGGCCTATTTAAATTTCACCATTTGTCCTTTATAGTAAATTTTCCCCAGTGCAGACTCTCATCCAGGATCAAGCTTTATTGTTCTCATATTTCTTCAATCTTTAACCTGGAATAGTTCCTTAGCTTTGTTTTGTTTTTAAGACATTTGATAGTTTTTAAAGGGTAGAGGCTAATTATAAAATTTCCCTCAATTTTGTTTTTTTCTGTTAACCTCATAATTAGATTTGTTATGGATTTTTAGCAGGAATACTACATAAGTAAAGTTGTGTACTTATTTTTTTAACTCAATAATTATTTTAAATCAATCACTTGTGGACTGCTTGGAAGCGGTAAGAAATGACTTATAGATATACTTAAAAACACTGACTTGAAAAATAAAAACAACACTGACTTGACAGCTAAATTGAATGGAATGTTTCTTAGGGCAGTTCTCATTTTGTCATTTACTCCAATTAAACTCAAGGTCCCTATAAGGGATCTCTTTCCTGAGCTGTGGAAGCTCTAACGGGAGAATCCAGAGATGAATACCAGTTAATCTCCATTTTCACTTCTCTCCAAGCTTGGATTTGGAGAAATGAAGCCCAGAAAATAGAAAGCAGGATACTAAACAGAGCTGAATCAACACAAAGTAACCCCAAAATAGAGAGATGGAAACTTTTTAGGTTATAAAATACTCATAAAGACCTCTCGTAATCAGAATTGGCATCGGCAAAGATGCATTGAGTAAATAGCAGTTATGTAAACAAAACACTGAATAAGGGATAGGTTCTAGGCCTAGCTTCCCAAATAAACAAAATCATAATACAAAAGCAACCAATAAGTACT